GTCACCCCCCCTGCCCCCCCCCTTTTTTTCCTTTTTTCCTCCCCCCCCTTTTTTTTTCCCTCTTTCCCCCCTTTTTTCCCCCCCTTTTTTTTTTCCTTTCCCCACTCCTGCCACTCACCATCAGGATGTCTTTCCTGCTCCTGCTCTCCCGCAGGACCTGCTCCCACACCACCAAGGCCACGAGCGCTTGGGAATTTCGGCAGGGCTTCCCTGTCAGGAAAACCTGGGGGGGCCAGATGGGAGAGGGGCACGGGGGGAGTTATCATCAGGGGAAGCCTGCAGGCAAAATCTCCAAACCCAGATAACCAGATCCTCAAATACGACGAGTTAAACTCCCTGATAAGCTACAGAATAAATAAAGCAGCAACCCAAATTCCTTGATGTTCCTTCTCAGAAGACCCCGAATCCATCCCCTGGGTTATGGGTGAGGGTCTTACAGACCTGGGACAGATCGCAACGGTCAGAGGGACAGACACAGCCCATGCACACAGGTTGGTTTGGGGATCCCACGTTTTGTTTTTGATGTTTTCCTTCAAAAAAAAAAGCAATTTATGGTTCAGGGACCTCCTGAGCCACGGAAGCCTCTGAAGAGGTGATCCCCCATCAGCCGGAGGATAATGAGAACAAACACTTGCCGCACGGGCTCCATCGAGATGGGCGGGCGCAGAGAAAGAGTCTGTGCAAATATGAATGGAGATAATCAAAGCTGCCGGGGAGTGGGGCTGAGGGACGAGCTGCAAGGAGAGAGACCCCTCTCCTTCCTGTGGACCGGGAGTTGCAGATGGCTGGAGCTGGCCGGAGGGATGCAGGATGCTCGGGGTACCTGGGCAGATGCAGGACAGGTAGGGGCGACCAAGGATGGGGTCTTAAGATACACTCGCCTCCCACAGCTTCCAGATGTCATTGAAGGACTTGAACACTTGCTGGAAGGAGAAGCAAAAGCAGGGGACCAGCGAGTGAGTAACTTGCGGGCCTTTTCCTTCTGAAAGATGAGAAAAGCAAACCCTGGGGCAGAGACGATGCTGCATTTTAAGGGCAAACAGGAGCAGTTGTGAGCCATTGGGATGGGAGGTAAAAGCCAACCTGGCCAGAGAAAATCAGGCAGCTAAACCTGGAGGAGAAGGAACATTTTCCACCCAAGCAGCATCAGCGGGACATGAGAAGGGCTGGCCCGTGGAAGGACAGCTCGGGAGAGCTCAACAGCCGCAGCTTCAGCTCCTTCTTCATGCAACTCACAGAGTAAAGGAGATAAATTCAGAAGAGCAAGTGCAAAGGGCTCAGGTCTTCCAGAGTCTCGCCACGGAGCCGTCTCAGGAGAGCCAAGACACATAACCCCTGCTCGGTGGCCCTGACCCATGTCCTCAGCATATTTAGCAGGTTTAGGTGATGCCAATCACTGTGCAAATACTTCCTCTCCTTTGCTGGCATCCTCTCTAAATGATGCTGCTGAATCTATGGGGGTGTTTTCTGCTGGAGCCGTGGAGGTGCTGAGGAGGCTTGGGACTCACCCAGGTGTTTTGCAAAGGTGGGATCCATAAATGCAACCGAGATCTTCAGCATGGTGAAGCTCTTCCCCATGCCTATGTTCATCACACAGCTGTGCTCCTGGGGGACACGGAAAGCAGGAACCCAGAGCAGGGAAAGCTCCCGTGGCCCAGCTTGTTCGTAGCCACAAAGCCCAAAGCCCCAACAATAGAGGATTCGACCCCTTTACTGCAACTCCATCCCCTGCAGGGATCAGCACTGCCTGGGCAAGTTGGATGAGGCCCACCCCAAACTGATGCTCACTGAGAGGCGGTTGGGAGGAGGGACCATGCCTGGTGGGGGGCAGAGGGGAGCTGAAGGCTGTAGGTGGCTGTTTCCCCCAGGGTGGGAGGACATCAGGCCAGGAGCAATTACGGACTTTCACCACCTGGACTGTTTGATCCAAGGAAGAAGCGCCCCGAAACTTACTGTTTTCTGGATGAAGAACTGGAAGAGCCAATAGACCTCGTGTTCCCTCTCAACCAGGAGGTGGAAGCGCAGGAGAGTCTCACAAAAGCCTTGCTGGTTCTCTGCCAAGAGAGAGGTCATCCAGACGCGTTCATTGCACCAGAGGGCAGAGATGAGATCGGCACTGCCGGCTGCCGATGGGAAAGTTCCTCCCTGGAAAAGCCCTTCGGGGCCACATGGGACCTGCTGCCCCCCTGCCCGCTCGCCAGCCTCTGCGTTGCACACGTAGCTCAGCAGAAGGGTCTTCTCCAGCTGCTTCTTGTCCACCACGCTACGGCCTCATCTCATGCGCAGTCTCTGCAGGTCCAAGCCTGGAGGGAGAGACACCCACCCACGCTGGACACTTGGAGCAGGGTGTTCATACCGGGCTGCTTCACACCATCACATCCTGCACACGTAAATGCCTTTGGGAAAAAACTTCATGAGCAAAACAAGCTTGAGACAGGGCAAAGCCGATTTGCTTACCTGGAGAACTCAAGGGGGCTCCAAGATATTTCTCCTACCCTGATTTTGACCACAGATTTCCTCCTGGTCCAAGAGTCCCACCATCCCTGCTGTCCCGAGTTTTGCCTGCACGCTTGCCTATGTCTACAAGAAGTTTTAGCTCTGAGCAATGTGTGTAACCCGCACCAGCTCTGTAAGCAGTTCATTTCATGAGGAAAGTTGGAGAATGATTTCTTCTTCACCCAGTCGTGGAAAAAAAAGGGAGCAAGGAGATGTGTCTGGCTGAAGGCATGACATTTTTCTAAGGTCTTCTCCGGCTGGATGCAGCATCTTTCATTTCTAAAGCAGCAGCTTTGTCACAGCAAGGCACTTGGAAAAAAAAAACCACCAAACCTTACCTTCTTGCTTCAGCTGGGTTGATTTATGCAGGTTACATTGATTTGTAACATAAATTTTGCAAGATCATTTAATATTCCTTTTGTTGTACAACTAGGAGAAGCCTAAACGGGAATCTGAATATAATAACGCTCTTCACTGAAGTAAGCTCCTTTCATCCACAAAAAAAACGGGCCCAGAGGTTCTCTCCCAGCTCCCAGCTTTTCTCTAATAACATCTCTATCTCCCAGCTTTCTATATATAATTCCCTCTCTCTGGGTCACTCGACCCATCGCTGCAAAGCCGATGGCTCCAGGCGATGCTGTAGCAGGTGCCAGATCTAGCCGTCAAACGCTGCAGCTCACGGTGAGAAGAGAGGTAGAAAAATGCCATAAATTGGAGCGGCTGTGGGGATTTTAAGGTGTTCAGAAATATAATGACACGTGCTGGGGCTGGGCCAGCCAGGGGGTAGCACGGGTGGCTGCTGGTGGGTTGCCATCCCTCCCTCTGCCACTGCTGTGGGGAAAAACCCGGTATCTCAACCGGGTAAAAATCCAGCATTGATAGCCCTGGTCCTGCTGCAGCTGATGGAGAGGAGGGAGGATTTCATTGCAGCCTCTCTCCCCAGTCCCAGCACACAATTTCAAAAGCAGCTGAAGGTGATGCAGGACCTTTACATGGTCTTCGGTGGCGTTGACCCCATCCCTCCTGCAAGGACTAGTTGCCAGCCGGATTAGGGAGCTGATCAGGCTTGCAGCTAGCTCTGTGCACATCTACGGGGTTAGTTATCCTGCAGATGGCTGGACACTGAAACTCAAGTCACTGTAACCCCACCGGGCACCCCACGCTCCCCTCCCCACTGCCATTGGCACTTAGCGATGAAGCTGCAGACGTAGGAGAAACCCCTGTGCTGTGTCTCCAGCAACAGCTGGATCTGGTCGTACATCTTGCACAGCCCCTCCTAATTCTGCCTGCAAGGAGGCTGAAAAACTGCCCCAGGGTTTGGACCAAAATGGGAGTTCTTTTTGATTTTTTCCCCGTTTCAGACCCAGAGGGGTGTACAGGATGGGGGGACGGGCTGGCAGACAGACGTATCTCAAGTGCTGTCGACCACGAGCATCTCATCTCGGGAACTGCCCCATGAGATATTTCCACACCCCTGGCTGCACGGAGATGCCAGGCCCTGGGGATGACAACACAGCACCTCGGGCACCCCATCCATGCCCCCAGGGGTGGCTTTGGGGCCGTCGTCAGCTCTTGTGGCCCTCAGACCCTCGTGAAGGTGGCGATGTCCCAAACCACGCTACTTGGACAAGCAATTTCAGGGTTTCCTGCTAAAGGAGCCCCAGTTTACAAGTTCATTTAAACCCAAACAGCTCAGCAGAAGGGTTTTCAGCCCAGATTTGCCCATGCCCGGATGCACTGGGGCTCCCCGGCGTCAGGAGAAGGGAGGGGACTCACGGGACGCTGCAGGGCCATGGACGGCAGCTGCACCCCCTTGGCACGGGGCTGGATGCTCAGCACTTTTGCAAGATCAACCCCATGTCGTGGCCCCTCTTGGACAACACAACTCCATTTCCAAGGAAGCAGGAGCATCTTCTCGCCCACCTCCCTATCCTCTGGGTCCCGGAGCTGTAGCTCCGTACACCAGCTGGACAGGGTCGAAGAAGTCACCCTGCCAAAAGCACCGTCCCCGGCCTCCATGCCACCAGCAAGCCAGCCCTGACTTCCCCAGATACTTTCCAGACACTGCCTTTAAGCCCAGACAGGAAAATTTCTCGCTACCAGCCCAGCAAGGGGGAAGCAGACTGTTTTCGCGGCTCTCTGCAAGTGTGACAAGGTGTTTGGGTTCGTCTCAGAGCTCTCCCGGCAGCTTTCAGGGGAATGAAAAGCTGTTTTTAGAGGCTTAAAAAAAGGAGGGAATAAAAAAAAAAAAAAAAAAAAAAAAAAGTTGTTTCACTGTAAGAATCAATTCTCCCTCACCGGGCAAAGCTGACTAATTTGTAAACTGCGAGAAAAGAATAAAAAGCAGCCAGCGAGCGAGAAATGCCAGACGAGGATAAGCGCAGAGCATCGCTAGGCAAAGGGATGCTTGTTCCTCAAGGATTTATTTATTCTCCTAGAAAAACAGGGAGGAAAAAGGAAACTCCCTGGGGCTGGTTCCCCCCTCGGATGCCACTCAGGTGGACCTCCAGGCGAGGTTGGGGACCCCCTGGAGCCATCCTCTCCACCGCTGAGCCTGCTCACCCTGTTGATGGGCATCTTCTTGGCTCTCTACGAGCAAGAGGAGAGTGAGGCCAACCAGGCAAGGGCAGCAAAAGCTCCCCTGGGTTAACACCATCCTAAAGCTCATAAACCACATCAGCAACCTGCTTGGCTCCGGCACAGCTCTTATTGACCGCATGCCCTGACTCCCTCAGTGGGAAAACGTAGCCCCGAGCCTACATTGCTCCATTTAATGTCAGTCCAAGCCCGCTTTTAGCGGAGGATAAAAGGCAAGCGCAGTGTGGTTTAGCATTGCTAATTAGAAATGACCGGAGAGGAGGAATTAAGGGGATGAAAACCAGGAGAGGAAACGGTATCAGAATCTGAGATTTCTGCATCCAGCAGAAGAAACACTTAATAACGCGACTCCTGGGGCCCAGAGGCAGGTCCTGGAGGAAGGGCTGTGCGGGCAGTGGGGCGCAGGAACACCACCAATGCTGCTGCCCAGCTCTTTGAAGGGAGGGGGAGCAGGGAAATTCACTTTTTTTTTTTTAAACCCAGCACCAAACCAAAGGGAAACAAGAGCGAATTTGTGCTTCTTGTGCTTCTTCTCCCTCCTTACAACTGGGTGGGCTTCAGCAGAAGTTTGGCCATCCTGGGAGAAAACAGACCGTGTCCCCATCGCTGGCACCCGCGTAGCAGTTCTGTCACCCTGGGGCTATGGGACTGGAGAAACACGGTGCAGAAAACCCAGGCTGGCTCTGGGTGAGCCAGGTCAAGGTGTATTCCCAAACCAGGAGACCTAAACTGGGACATGCCCAAGGTCCTGAGCGATGCCAGCTCAGCCAGTGCTTCTCAAGGCACAAGTCAGAGATGCCCGACCTTTCAGATCCTGTCTCCAAAACACCTTTCTAGCTTGTTTCAATCACCCTGTGTACGTACAGTCGGGCTTTCATCTCCCAGGGAAGTCCCCTGGGCTGGAAACAGCATCTGGGGGAGTGTTGTGAAGAGGCATGGTGTAGATGGAGTAAGAGACAGGGACCAGGAGGGCTGCCCAGACCCGGGGAGCCCCATGTACCAGCAGGGAGAAGGAGGGTCTGAGCTGAGACATGTTGGTTTGGGAGGAGGCACTTGTCATCTCCCAGCTCTGCAGTGCTGCTGATGCATCGCCCACTAATCAGAGAAGAGGGGAGGGGATCACACGCCTGCGGGGGAGAGATGCGCTGATGGATGCTGTGAGGTCATAGGGACAGGAGATCACTGAGATATGAGGTCACGCGTCGTCCTCAGCCAGCATCTCCTCTCCAACCCCAATCCGAGCCCCTCGGCAAGGAGCTATAGGTCCCCAAGTCGTTCAGCATCTCTTGGGTTTGCTGATGACCCATTTACAATGGCTTTGGTAGATCTCAGTCTACATCCCACGTATAATGTGATTACAAGGCTGTGTAATTGCTGCATAATTGTCCTTCTTCCTGAGGCTGGCGCACCCTGGGGTTCCAGCCTCTCAATCTTAATTAAAAAGAATAAATATTAATCAATCTCAATCGTCATTTCAGAGCTGGGGGGGCAGGGGGAGGGCCCCTCAGCACACACAACCTTTGGGGTGTAAGGGGAACATGAACCCCATGTGGGGAAATTAGCCTGACAAAGGGTCTCGGAGGTGCCATGCCCCATCATAAGGGGTCTAATTGAGGACTCTTTTAAACAGTACTTTAACTCCTCAGCGGCTGATCGTTTGGCAGAGCAAAGCCTCAGGAAGATCCACCTGCCAGCTACAGAGCATTTCCAAGCAGCCAGGCATCCTCTTCCCTGCATTTTACAGAGAAGGAAAACGGCATGAGCAGAGCTGCTTGCTGTCCTCCAGCTGCTGGGAAGCAGGAGCAGATCAGCCTTTTCTTGTCCTCGAATCAAAGGGAGCGATGCCACATCTCATTTTTCCCAGCAAAAGTTTGCGACGGGAGTTTGAGACCCCCCAATTCTCCTTTCGCCCACCCACTCACAGCCCTTTTGGTTGCAGAAATGTGCGGGGATTAACGGCACGGACTCTGGCAAGCAGCAACCAAAGACCTTTATTGCTCTATATTAGGGTAATTTATAGCAAGCAGAAGTGTCCACGCGCTATCCGCAGCCTGCAGATAGGTTACAGCCTTGTGTTCACGCGCATCTGTGCTCCAGCGGATAGGTCTGCTCTTCCTGACCATACAGCATGACTTCATGGTCCTTATCTTGTTTACTCCTTCCCAGCAGCTCATTCCTTTCTTCCTTATCTTCTGCCTGCGTGCTTTCTCACGGGTACAGTACCTGCTCATTAAAACCGAATTCAGTAATGTCCATAGTTAAAAATCCTATCCCCACAGAAATGGACTGACCCGTAGGGCCGGGGCAGTGGGATGCAAACCAGCATGGAAAGCAAGAAGCCATGTTAGTGATGGGGCAGAGCTAATAAAGCTTTGCCAGGACCTGGCTGCCAAGCTGCTGGGACCCAGGGAACCCGAGGATGAGGAGAAAGGGCTTTCCAAGGGAAGGGTTTTCCAAGGCAGGGATCTGGAAAGGACTGCTGAAGGGGAAGCTAGGAATGAAGGCAGGAATTATGGACACTGTGAAGGAGAGGAAGCCACCCCAAAAAAAACTGCAGGTGCTTGCTGAACATGAGCTGCCCCATGCAGAGAGCCTGCCCCTGGAAATAAAGTCTGTGCCTTGGCCTCAGACCTGCTGAAGTGGCGGGTCAGACATCCAGATGATGGCTGGGGTGGTCGAATGAAAAAACAGGGAGAAAACAAGCAGGAACTAGCGTAAGGGGGGCAAAAAAAGAAAAGAACAACAACTAAAAAGGCAGAGAGACATAGTTAGGAAGTCTGTCTCACTCCGCCAGTGCAGAGCCCAGGTACGTGGTGGGACCCTGCAAAGCCTGGCTGATTCGGCTGCAGGCAACTGTAAATCAATCAGTCAGCCCTCGTTATTGCAAATGAACCACCGGTCATCTGAGATACACAGCTGCTAGCACCCAGGATAGCATGAGAGAGGTGCTCAGGCAAGTAACGCTCAAGGGAAGGTTTGTCCACAATCCCCATCTCCCTCCTGCATCCTCCCATCTAGGACCAGGAGCGTTGCCCCACTAGTCCCGAGACTTTTAGAGAAAAGCCACCCAGAGAGCAGGGTTTGCACTTGGAGAGCTGAAACGGTGTTAGATGATGCAGCACATGAAAGAAGAGAGGTCTAGATACAAAGAAATGCTCTTTCAGAGCTGTCTTGTTGAGGAGTAACTGGGCCATCTCCTGTATTAACTACTCTGTCCTCACTTCTGTCTGAGACTGGCAAGGGTCTGCCCCACTCAGTGTCCTGGGAAACCTAAGCAGGTTGCAAAAGGGCTAAGAAAGAGTGAAACGAGGCGGAAAAGAGAAAAGAGTGATCCCAAGAAGCTTTGGAGAGAGCTGATGGAGAACTCAGCTAATTACATCCTCAGAAACCTCACCACTTCCAAATGAATTTTTAATGAAAAAAAATAATGCTCTTTTCCAGTTATTTAGCATAGAAAGGAAAAGCTCTGGAGATTGCCGCACCAACCCCCAATACCTACTGCGTCTGGGCATCTCAAGACCACACGGAGAGGTGAACTAGAGCTTTTTCCAGACAGGTCCTGACCTTGGGAGGCAGGACCAGAAATTAATTCAGTCTCACGCAGACTGAGAAAATGCTCTTTAAAGTGGAGACAGGGAGATGGGAACTCACAGGGGTCAAGCGGTGATGGCGCTCCTGGGAGACTGGC